GCATATGTGCATACACACACCAAACCCCGATGAATGAGTACCGAGGTTGTCTCTGTTGCCGCCTTTGGGTGCACTACAGCCCCTTTCCCACTGCCGCTCCTTCAGAGACACGACAAGCCACTCCCGGTCGCGATGAAAACGTTGAGGGCCAGACCACGGTTCACAGAGTGGAAGCTGGCGGTTCTTTTAAACCGCAGGCCGAGCGAGTATCGGTACCCCGGAAACTCCCAACTGTTGTTAACTCCACAGTCATTCAAGGCGTCACCATAATGGCATAAATGCCTGGGGCATTCTGAGTCCCCTACAACGAATAAACTCCAAATACAGGAATCACACGCACGGAAACAATTTTTTACTCAACGTCTGCTCACTAAGCAGGAAATGGAAGCCAAGAAAAATGCAGCTGGAAAAACGTAAGCTGCTTCTCCGCTCTTTCTAAATTTATATCTTGTTCCATGCTAAGATGAAGCGTAGGCGCACTGTCCCATTCAAAATGTTCTTTCAGCGGCCTCCTCCAAGAAACGTAACACCTCTTTTCACTGCGTCAGTCCTCCGCTGTGCTCTGTCTCTGCTCGCGAGCCTCACTAACTTCCTAGATGCAAAGGGGACAAACTTCACGAGGGGGGCAAATATATGACCAGGTGCCCAACGTGGAAGAGCTTCTGCTTGGTATATCCTTCATTGTTTAGTTCGAAGGGTTGAGTCCAGCTGGTGCGCCCATACCGTCAATGCGAGACCCAAGNTATCCTTCATTGTTTAGTTCGAAGGGTTGAGTCCAGCTGGTGCGCCCATACCGTCAATGCGAGACCCAAGGCTGCCCCCTTCATTGTCGCTGCTGTTTTCACAATGTCCACCAAAGTCCACTGCGACATGGCTTTAGCCTTGGTCGTGTTCACCTGATGCAACAGGAGGCCCACCTGCTTCTTTTGGGGGGCAGGAAGCTCGACTGACACCTGGTTTGCCTGTTGAATATCCTCGGCTCCTGCTCCGGCCAATGCTGCTGCTCTTTGAGCCAACCTGCTGCTCAGTTGCAAATCAAGCTCAAGAGACTCCAAGAACTGTGCACGCAACAACAACATCTCCGCCTTCTCGGCGAGTTCCTTTGCAGCGACAGTTGCCCTTTGAGCAGCAGCTGCCAACCCTGTTTTAGTTTCAGATGCCTCACTGGAAAGGTTGAGGGACACGGCCACGGCTGTGATGTTATCTCTGAGTTGTTGAAGCGACTCCGTCACCAGCTTCAGCACAGTAGGGTTAACGATTGTCTTCGTCTCAATGCCTTCCTGCTTATGTATTTGTGTCGTATCCGGTTGAGGAAGAAAGAGCTGCCCCAACTGTACTCTTGCTAGGATGTTTGCAACTCTCTTGCTTGTTGCTTTGACTTCCTGTCTTGCCCGTGAAGCCATTGCATCAATTGTTTTCTGACCCCATACGCCTTGAGCAGATTCTTCGGCACTCGCTATGCCGGTAATAGAATGCATGCGGAGAGCCGCCGCTTCCAGGAGGGCCTTCAGCTCTTCTCCCACCTCTTTAGCTTGCTGCACTGCTGGCTGTGCAGAAAGTTTGTCCCTTTTTTGCAGCTGTTCAATCTCCGCCTGATGTATCTGCAGCAGTCGCTCTCCCTTGTTCAGCATATCCTCCAACGCCTTCAGTTCGTCTAAGACACCGATCTCTTCTTCGGTAGGAGAGTGCAGTCGCTCTACCTCTGCAGACCACAGGGCCCGCCGTTGCTGCAGGAGGTCCCGNCTTCGGTAGGAGAGTGCAGTCGCTCTACCTCTGCAGACCACAGGGCCCGCCGTTGCTGCAGGAGGTCCCGGCACTCCCTGTGGATGCGCAGCTGCTCACTCACGACTTGAGACAGCATGAAGGCGCTGGCACTCGATGCCAAACCCACAATAGAACTCGTACCCATCTTTACGGCTCCATGTGCTGCTTTAATGAATTCCACGCCTGCAGCAACCGCGCCCAACAGGAGCCGGTCCTTCAATCCTTTGAACTTCGGAAGCGCCTGCAGGTTTTCCTCGACCTTTGCTGCATAATGCTTAAAGGCTCGGCAAGAAAAATCAAGATTTTCCAAATGAAGCGCCAGGGAAGCTGTGAAGGCTGTATCCATATGGGCAAGGGCATTCACCTCTTGCTCGAGCAGAATGGGCGGAGCGGGAACTTCCCGTGTTTCTTGAGCCAGACCTAGCCCGTGCTGTCGTGTCAATTCAAATAGACGTGACAGATCAGAGATGACGCTGTCCAATGCCTTCTGCATTAGACTCTCAGAAGAATCCCAAGAGCTAATCAACCCGCCTGAAACCTCTTGCTGCACCTGCTTGGCCCTCTCTACACTGTTGCGAAAGTTTTGCAAAACAGAAAGAGACTCACGAGAGCCCACGATCTCGGCCATCCGGGCAGCATGCGGTTGCAGGTCGTCCAGCTCATTTAACTGCTGAATAAAACTGCCATCGGCCCCCGTCAGCCCTGGGTCCTCCTGCATGTCGTAACGGCGTCTTTTTGTCTTTTTACCCCCCAGCACCCCCCTAGATAGGAGACTGAGCAGCGCGAAACACAGTACAATAAACAAGGCAGCAGTGCCCAAGGCGCGGAGAAGGCCCCGTCGTCCCGCATTGCGCTTTTGTGGTGAAAGCGGTATGCGAGTTGTGTTGTCCTGAGTGGCTCCGGTGAGAAGCGGGCCTTCTGATTCTGGTGAGAGGCTTGTGAGAAATCCGGGCGGGGTCGGGTCTGCAGGCCCAGAACGCGTCTCTGTAAGTACGGAATGACGAAGAAGAGCTTCGCTATCCTCCTCGTGGTCTTCAGAAATCCACGAATCGATAGATAAAGCCGCCAAACCAAGCGACTCCGTCAGCACTTCACTCCAGAAAGAGTCAGGGGGACTGGCGGCCACAACATCTTTGGCAAAAACAATGCCCAGCCACCCTAAAAGTGCTGACGCCAACAAAAATTGCATTCTTCGGCCACTGTGTGACTCCTGGAGTCTTATTGATGGCTCCTGAGGAAATAAGAGGAGCCACACAACAGCGGATATCCGGAAAGAAAAAGCGAAAGATTTCGTCTTTCGCCAAGACACGCCGAAAGCGCCGAAGGCGGGTGACACCGCCCGCCTGTCCAACACGCCCTTTTTAAAAGGACCCTAAACCAGGTCCTACTGAAATTATGTTCGAAAATAATGAGTTTTACCTTTGAAGGAGGCTGGTTCCAGTCCAGCCTCCCNTCCTACTGAAATTATGTTCGAAAATAATGAGTTTTACCTTTGAAGGAGGCTGGTTCCAGTCCAGCCTCCCGCTGAAAAACTTAATTCCTCGGACGGGCAATGGTGGGGGACTTGGGGACGTGAGCAGCAGCAGCAACAGCTGCAACAAAAGAACCCGCCGCACTACCAGCGGGTGCAGCTCGATTGGTATGGATTGCAGTGTTTTTTCGAGAAGAGGTATGATACCTATTGATGAACCTGCGTTCAAGAGTAATTTTGGCGTTTCACTTGTCCTTGAGAAGGGAGCAACAATTCAATGCACCCATTCCGCAGAAACGGCCATTAGAGGTCTGTTGCTACATTTACGCACGTTGTGCGAAGGCTCCCAGCATTATAAACAATAGCTCAATGAAACATTTTGCCAGCCATTGTTTTTTCAGGTTGTCCGGTGTAAGAAGGGCCGCAGGCTGTGGGGGCCTATTGTGGGACGTTCCCTGTAATGTGCAGCAGGGCACCTCGTTTACTGGAGAGGAAGTAGCACAAGATTTTTTTAGTGCAAATTTCAATTGAAATATTTGCAAAACTACTTACTCTAAATATCTGCACTCGAAGAACCGGAAGAGCTTAGGAGGAAATTACCCTATTGACAACCAATCTCTTGTTTCGTATATAGTTATAGCGGTTGCTCTCTGGCCTTAATTTAAGACAGACGCGAGCTGCAATGTATGTAAAGGCTTAAAGTAAGAGTCCAAAAAAATCCTCCTGTCCTCAGACCT